TTCCTTCCATGGAGGAAAACCAGGTAGAACAGGAAGCTGGCAATGGGACAGATGTTTGAGATGTGGTGGACAGTCAGCTTTGCTCAGCCTTGGTTGGTATTGCTGAACAAGATTGGAGAAGCCACCAAGGTCTTTGGACCGCAGTTTTTCTATAAGATTGATTAATTGGATTAGATGAGCTCTGAAACTCCCTTCTATCTCTAACTGTCAATAAGCCTAGAAATATCCTGAGTTCACTATTCTCAGGGAGACAACTACCTGAGTGGTCTGAAGCTGGTAAGTGCTTTTGTGACTTACTTATGATTTATTTCTAGAGCAAATGTAGCCTGGGGGGTCTGTGATAGAGATAGCTTGACCTAAGCACATTGATTCAGTGTCAAAATGAAGCATCTTGGACATGTCGCCTGGGTCGGGAAGAATTTATTGTAATGGATTAAGACCCACTCTCTGTCAAAGCAGCAGGTGCTAAGGAAGCATGACTACTCTGACAAATGGCCTCACACCCGCGACTAGACCTCCAACTTTATCACTTAGCACCCTCCAGGGAAGACCTGCCTTGGACTTCTCCAGCAACTATGCCCCTTGCTACTTTCAACTTTGTCTTATGAGTGCCATCAGCCTTAATGTTCAATAAACTAATTAACCATTCATTGATTTATACAAGGGGGAGTGGGCAACTCAGGCAACTAAATGTCACCACTCCCTAATAACGCTCCATAGCCCTCCAAAATAAACAAATAGGCATCATACCTATGTAAAAACAATGTTTGCACAATTGGGGCTTAGGAGAATCCCTCTGCCTCTATCCCACTGCACTGCCACCCCGCAGCCTGGCCTACATATGCATTCTGAGCTTCTAATGGGATTTGATGCAGGCCTCCTAAGCTTCTTGGAAGTCTTGTGGTTGACTGAGAAGTTTCAGTACTAGTATATGATCTCACAGATAGATTCGGTGTCAGGAACTCTGCTGGTATTTGGAGCTAAAAGGATGACGGCATCTATTCATTAACACTTGTCTGATTTTCAGAGTTAACACTTGTCTGTTTAAAGGAAACGACAGTCGGTAGTGAAGGACTAGGCGGTTTGGTGGCCTAGAGGGTTACAAGTTGGGGTTACAACGCCAACATTTTGACCCCCCAGCCTCATCTTTCTGCTCCTGTAAAGACTGACAGTGTCAGATACAGACAGGGGAAGCTCTACCCTGCTCTATACGGTCTCTGAGTTGGCCTGGACTCGGTGGTAGTCAGTTTTGGTTTTAAGAGGACTAGCAGCAATCACCCATTTCAACTCTTGTCAATAAGGCTCATCGACTTGTATAAGATTAGTTCTGGAATCCCTGGGTGCACACTGGAAAAGTCGCCCATGACCCTACATGTGTTGATTTCCCTACCCTTGTGACTTCAGCCCTGAGAACAATATTATCATATGGAAGGCACTTAATAGACGCAGACTGAACAACCGATAGAAGACCATGTAGTGCTATGCCGAAGAACTCTGCCTGGAGAGAGTGCCTGCAATCTGATCCCAAGTCCACTGTCATCAGCCTGCATTTGGACAAGCAAGTTAGCATTTCTGCACCTCAATTTAAAACTCGGGATACAAATATATATATCTCAAATGGGAATTTCAGAAGTTAAATACATAAATGCGAATAAGATTCTTACTACTAACACATTCTATAAATGTTTATTATATACCTAGATACCCCACTCCCTGCCATCAAGGTGATTCCGACTCATAGCAACCCTACAGGCCAGGGTAGAATGGTGCCCTGTGGGTTTGCAAGGCTGTAACTCTTCATAGGTGTAGGAAGCCTCATCCTTCTCCCATGGAGCTGACGCTGGTTTCAAACAGCTGCCCTTATAGCAGCCCGATGTGTAACCTAGTACACCTTCGGTGCTCCTATAACTGGATAAATCCAATTTTATGGCCCGTTTCCATTTCTGTCATCACTGAGGTTTTGTTTTGGGAAATACAGTTTGTGCTAAAAACACAAGCCAACAGATGCGGAGCTGTGTCCTAATAGTCTTCTGCCATAAGCCCCGCTGCGGGGCAGCTTTGACTTTCGCAACATGTGAAAGCACTTCTTTCCATCAACGCCATTGATGCTGCGGCTCATTGTTCTAGACCCAGAGTGCCTTGAAAGCAGACGCTATCTAAGACAGCTGATTTGCTGTGTTAAGCAATGACCGCAATGCCCATTTATGCAAGGTTTGGACGTTAATGAGAACCCAAACACCACAATGGCTATGTGGGCCAGGTCCAAACCTTCACAGGACAACATGGAATCTCCAAAGTGTTCTAATCACAGAGACTTTCCTAGAACACTTGACATTGAAGAAGGCTTCTGGTTTACCATCCCAGACACCACTCGCTCCTGCCAGAGAAGTTTATCCGGGAAACTACAATGACAGGAAGATCCCGCTTTTCAATAAGGACACACCTAAGATCCAATCATTATAATTTTCAGACTGAAAAGCTCCTAATAGTTCTTATGAAAAAACTCAAGCAAATTCACTGGCATCCAGTCAGTGCTGAGACTGTAACTATTTAAGGCTGTAGAGAACCCAGCCTTTCTCCCGAAGGAGCTACCTGGTTTCAAACTGCTGGTCATGAGCGTTGCAGCCCAATGCATAACCACGATACCACCTAATATCCTCTTTTAAAAAAAACAACTTTTTTTTCTTTGTCATTTGCTGTTCCTGAACAGCTAAGAAGTCCTGATGGTTCATGTGACTATTGATTGTTTTCTTTGTTTGTTCTCTTTCTGTCTCTGTCTCTCTCTCTTTTCCTTCCACAGTAGTGAACAGTGAAATGGGCCATTCAAGATTTACCCAGTGAACACCTGCTTTGTGTGTTTGGCCCTTCTGCCCACCTCATCCATCCCCCACTCTTCTTTCACAGCTGTGCTGCAGCCTCACAAGTTCCTTTGCTTCTGGCCCTGCCCACTGCTTCAGATCCGGCCCCGCCTCTTTTTGGCCACGCCCTCATCCCGGCCACCCCTGCTGCTTCTCTTCCTCCAGATAGGATAGCTGGGCTCTAGGTCTTTCTCTTTCCCCTCTGCGTGAAGCTCAGGCTTTTACATTTATTTTGTCAGCTTTCCTCTGCCCCTGCCTTTCATTTGAAGACAAATCAAATCCTTCTGTTACAATGGAAATTGACTGTAAATAAACATTTACTTCCCGTTCACTCCTGTGAGCACCCTGAGCTGCCTCCTTTTCTCTTGGAACTTGTTTCCCGTGAGTTGTCAGGGTTTGGAGATAGGATTTTGTGGTTGTTGTAGGTGTTGGTCAGATGCATGGCAGAAGGCCCGCTATTCTTGGCTGTGACTTCCTGTCACCTCTACCAGACTTCCCCAGCATGCACCTGGGAAGGGCAGAGTGGATGGCCTGCCTCACTACCCTGTTTCTCCGAAAATAAGACAGTGTCTTATATTAATTTTTGCTCCCAAAGATGCGCTAGGTCTTATTATCTTATTTTTCCATGAAGAAGAATACGGTACACATTTACTGTTGAACAACAAAAAAGGAAATTTATTACATGTATACAGTACAGTAGTAGTTGTCATCACAAACCAGTATAACCAGACAAACTGTGAATCCTGCAGTATCAAAAATGTCTTGTTACTACCATTATTTCCCTGTACAACAATCTATGGTACATTTACTCATAATCTATGGTACATTTACTCGCACTTCCTGTCTGCTCCGGCTGTGCTCCAGCTAACAGTGAGCTGCGCAGAGGTGCCTGCCGCTATGGTCCAGAGTCCAGAGTTACGGTAGCTTCAGGTGGCCTTATTATCGGGGAGGCCTTATTTTCAGGGAGGTCTTATTATCGGGGGGTGCCTTACATTTCAGCGAGAGGCAAAACTATAAGTAGGTCTTATTTTCGGGGGATGTCTTACTTTCGGGGAAACACGGTACTTCAGTCTATTACTGCACAATCTGGCTTGAAGCCATTTCTAATAGGCTTATCTGGATAGGAAGAAACCTAGAAAATAATTAAAAAATAGTATGAGGGTGCTTAAAGAATTTCATGGGGGAAATTGCGTGTCTCTTAACTCCACTTTTCCATGAACTTTTTGAAATATTTCCTATAAGCTACTTGATTAAAAAAAATAAACGAATCACCATGCTGGATCACAAGCCGGTTTCAATGATGTCAAATCTGACTAAGCATCCATCGATTGACTTGCTTGGCTCTCTTCTTATTGTACCGGTTTCTGATGTGCTGTTCTAGTTCCTCTGTCCCTTAGAAGGACAGAGATCACACCTTCTTCATCTAGATGTTTTCTCCATGGCCACGACGGACGTACATGCAAAGGGGAGAGCTGGTTCCGTGCCGTTGACAGTGTTTTCATCCTCAATACACTAGGCCTGCCTGAGGCTGCCTCTCTGGAAGAGGGTACAGGGTTGGATTGGGCCGTTTCCCCGCCTCCTCAGGCTCTGCCTTATACTTTGCGGCAGTGTACCCGGGTTAGTCCTGCAGCCTCAGGTTCTGATTTCCCTTCTTATTCTGAGAACCATTTCTCTCCATATGCGGGAGCCCTCCTCCCCTCAGGGGAGTCGAGGCAGCAGATTGGTTATGCTAAACACCTCACCTTGGGGCTTCGATTTTGATTTCTCCACAGCCATCCAGTCATTTATATAGTCAAGATACACTCACTTGGAAACTTCACAGAGACGTTTAATTTCTTTTTTCAGTCATAACTCTAGATAATTTGTATCCGTGATACTTTGTCCTCTCGGAGTCCAAGGAAATACTGAAACAGGAAATGCAAGTGCACGCCCTTTATCACTGTCATTTTGTCCTCCTTCCCTCACCCCACATACCAATGCGGAGCTAAGCACTGAGTATTGGAGAGTGTTGATGTTTGCTTGGTTGCCTTTTAAAAAGGCCTCAAAAGGTGGTGTGTAAAAAACAAACACAGACAGGAAGAGAGGGACATTGCCGGGGGTGTCCAGAGAATGTCACATGCTGACTCTTTTTTTGCCCCGCAGTCTCTCGCCCTGTGGAGAAGTCATTGTGCTTGGGACCTGCCCCTTTGGCCTCTCAGCTCTGCAACATCCCCTGCTCTACTGACTGCCTCGTCTCTTCCTGGTCAGCCTGGGGCCCGTGCACCCACGAAAGCTGCAGAGACCCTCAGGGGAGGAAAGGTGAGTTCAGTTCACCATTGGTGCCCACCTCACCTCCTGCCAGTGTGTGCACGCTTGTGCTTGGAGCTAAGGAGCTGATTCAACCCGCTTAGGAAAATATCTGTTTGCAAAATGTACAGAAGCAGCTCAAGCTAGACTGTATTTGGTTGTTGTGGAAGCAACTGGAGATGTTTCTACAGAGCCCCAAGTCCAACCGTGTTAGAAGATCCAGTTAGGCTCATAGCTAGTACAATGACCGGTGCCCAATATAGTATTTTCTACAAATTCCTGTGGACACATCCACATCCACACATGCACAATGACTATACTGAAGCATATAAGCATCCATTGAGTGGAATATAACTGCTTTGAGCATTCATTTTATATATATATTCTGATTTTACATGCTCAATTTAGTTGTATGTTCCTGAAGGGCATTATGTGCATTGTTAACTTTGTGACCCCCCATTTTCCACCCCCCACCCCCCCACACACTCTTAGGCTTCTGGTAAACATTTCAAACTTGTTAACTTGATGTACCTATTTAACTTTATGGATCATTCTGTATTGCTTTCTCTTGCTTTTATTTAAAATGCATGGTCATCATCAAACATTCATTTTGGGGGGTCATATTTTGCCTCTGTTCACCAACCTTCAATATTTCTTGATATTATTTCCCCTTAAATGACAGTGCCAAAAGGAAATATTGTGTTTACTAAGGGAAATGAGGTCCAAGGACATTCCAAAACTTAGGTTGGGCTTGCCAAGTCTTGATGCCAGTTGCTACATGCAAAATAAAGATGAATGAGTGAATGACGAAGGGCTTGATGATGCAAAGCTGCAGTTCCCAGCTCTCGCGTTAATGTTGTGTTCATTCAAAACATGCATATTTTAGTTGTTCCTGGAGAGCTCACATGCATACTTATGTACACCCAGGCTCACATGCATCTGCCCCTTGACTCTTTTGTTCTGAGTTAGAAGAGAGATAGTGAGTCTCTGACAGAAGAAGCTACCTGGCAATGTTTTCAAGTTCTAGAAATCTGGATCTCAACGGAAAGTAGAGGAGACCTATGATACTCCTTTATGTGCCATACAACCAGAATGTTCTAGGCCCTTCTGCTTATGGGTATACATAACTCTTATTAATATTAATATTCACAATGTGTGGCCTTGCCATCCACACCCATATAAGCAAATCATGTAAGCCTCTTGTGGTTGCTTATGGTATTCTTTGTGCCTACTTATGTGTGCTTAGAACTTCTCCTCCATATTCTATGTCTGGCACTCCTGTTGAAGGTCATCGTCTAGAAAATCACTCGAGGTTGTACTTGGGCCTCTTCTAGCTACAGCAGTCATTGTCCACACAGACACAACTTTGCTCTATAAAAAATTGCCTTTCTTTGTTTTCAAAGTTGTAGAATATGCAGCATTCCAAGTGGGCCTTTTAACATTCAGAATTATTTTGGATGTAAGTGACAAAACCCGAACTCATCCTATTTTAAGCCAAAAGAAAGGAATTTATTCATTTGTGTCCTGAAAATAGAAGGGAAGGTTGAACTGTACCCCATATTATAAATGGAGCTATCGAGTTTCAATGTATTTCTGTCATTTTTCCTTGACCTTTAAAAATAGCTTTTCCTCCATCTCTTGGTTCTACTTTCCTTCGTATTAGACTTCTTTTGAAGCATCCAGTGGAAACCAACACAGATTTTTAATTTAGACTGTAAATACAGTAAGTAGGACTACCTCTCCCATCGTTCCAGGACAATCCCTAGAGACGACGAATCTTATCATTCTGTGCCATGTGCTTGAACCAGTCACTCAGACAGTGGGCATGGTGCTTCGATCAGCTTGGTCTTGGCATCTGACTGCCACTTGCATCTTGAGAGGGACTATTACGGGATCCCCTCAAACACCAGGCTTCCTTGGCTGATTTCTTCTGTAAGCCCAAACAAGGCTGGATCAAAGTACATGTTGAGTCTCCATGTTAGTCAACCAGCCATTTGTTTGGTTTGTACCACGTTACAAACAAAGCTGCTACCATTGAGTCCCTTCTGGCTTGGGGCTTGCCCACATTGGTCAGTGATTCCCTTGCCCTGGAGAGCACCGGAGTGAGCTGACTGAGCAAACACAGAATGGGTTGTGAGCCGCAGCTCAGCCTCCATGCGTTTGCCTTTGCGGGGAGAGAGGGAGAAGACTGCAGCTGGGTGAGAGAGAGTGGGTACAACCAGTTACACTTTGAGAACATCAGGTGACTGGGGTGTGTGTGTGTGTGTTCTCAAAACAAACACCATCTTTGTATTTGGAGAAGGGTAGAATAAGTCGTCGTGCCCCTTAAATCCTCCTCAGAGATTAGGGGTGTGATGGATTGAGGAAATTTGATTTGTTTTCTAGAGCCCATTAAAAGCAAAACAAAGCAAAGCCCTCTTGCTGCCCAGGTGATTCTGCCTCATGGTGACTCTACGTGTAGCAGAACGGGACTGCTGCATAGGAGTTTCACACGTTGACTTTGGGAAGCCAGTTGTCAGATCTTTTGTTCTGAGGCCCGGCTGCATGCCTTTGAATTGCTAGCCTTTTGCTTAGCAGTTGAATGCTTAACCTTTTGCACCACCCAGGGACTTGGATAGGACCCAGGTCAAGGCTAAAGAATCCACGGGGCTCTCTGTGATCACAGGCTGGAAAGTCTGTCACGACCGTGATTGTTATTCAGACCTGGAAGTTGGCTGTTTTGCAGATGCCTCCCCAGAGCAGAGAGAATTTAGATTTTTAGAGTTTTGATAAAAACTTGCTAGGCCCACCTGCCTATAATTCCTCTTGGGAAAAATAAGGCATGAGATTTTCCCTCTAGGGACATGATGCTTTGCAAACGTGTTATGATGATGCTGAGTAATCGCCTTGTTATTGTTACTGATTTGTGGGCCTGAGGTCTGAGATGCTCTCCGTCTTGTTCTGGGCCATGATTCTACCGGGGATTTCAGCAGTCAGTGACTGGCGCAAATGAAATGTAGTGTAGCATTCCACAGAGGCTGGGGTTCTTGGGTGAGTGCATTCAAGAGCGAAAAGACTGGAATTTAAACCAGAGTGTGTAGGGTCACACTTGAATCCTCTACCCTAAAGAAATTCAGTGAAGCTGCTAGTGGAAATCTAGGGCATTCATGCATTCTGAGATACGGAGCCCCCTCTGTCTCTGCTGTTAGTCGTCACTGTTCGTTCAGGGTGACCACAGCTGTGCAGGCATCCGACTCCATAGGGTTCCCAGGGCTGTGACCTCTCAGAATTAAGCCACAAGCACTTGCCCAGTTGTACTACCTGGGGACCCGCGTATATGGAGGTGTAGGATGGGAGGTAAGCACAAATAAATGAAAACAAATAGAAAGTAATGTGGAAAGGCCCTCACGATTAACTTTAGGTCACCATTAGTCCCTCTCCCTCAATCTCTGTTACTGCCTTCATATGTTCACCCCCATAAATGATAGTAAAAGGGAATCAGAAAGCAGGGAATGTTTTATTACCTAATAGGAGAAATCGGTTAGTATGTAAGTTAGCTTCCCGTTGCTGTTCTTCTGGACCAGACACCTTTGAGTCAGGAATCATATAGAGCAGTGGTTCCCAACCTTCCTCATGCTGCCGCGACCCTTTCAGAGAGTTCCTCATGTGGTGGTGCCCTCCAACCATCAAATTATGTTCGTTGCTACTTCATCACTGTAATTTTGCTACTGTTATGGACCGAGTGACCCCTATGAAAGGGTCGTTCGACCCCCAAAGGGATTGCGACCCCCACAGGTTGAGAACCGCTGACCTGCAGTGCACGGTTGTCAACTAGTCAGAGTTCTTTTGACAAGGTGCTATTCTGCACAGCGGTGTATGCAGGCTCCCCAGCCGTCCATCAGCTCTGACAGGCGAACAGGGAAACCTGTGCTCAGCAGGCCAGTCCCATCAAGTGAAGCTAGGACTCATGTCAGGGGCATTTATATAGATGGAATTTTATCTTTGAGGCCTCCCCAGAGAGTTATAATTACAGACATATGAAAGACAAATCATTGGAAAGAGTGCACACAACTCCACAGCAAGAGAGCATTCGTTGTTAAAGAACTTTTTTTTTTCATTGTGATTTAGGTGAACACTTAAAAGTGGATCATTAGTGTTCTATTCAATGATGGCTCCGCATTTTGTTTCAAGCCACCCATTTCCACTCCTTCAGAGGGCCATTGCGTATTCCACTCACTGCCACTGTGTGCTGTGTTCACGCCTCCTTTCCTAACCCTCTGTCCTGGTAAACACTGCCCTTTTGACTTCCACTGTTCCAACAAGGGGGTGAACTCAGTTTTACACGTGTAGGTTGACTGAGCCTTAGTCGTGGGGGATCCTACTGGTCTCGGTCTGAACAAAAAGCCTGGTATCTTTCTGTTTCTGAGTTCTGTTGCACATTTGTCTTCCGTTCCACCCAGGACCTTCTAATGTGACCCTTTTCAGAGCAGTTGGAAGTGGCAGCGGGGCCCCTTCGCATCCTGGTCTGACGGTGGGAGTCTGATGTTTCTGGGGTGCGTTGCTCTGTGGTACTGATTGTTTCTTCGGATCTTCATCACTATGCTTCTCTGCACGGGGAGAGCCTGACACCTGTGCCTTCAGTGGCTCCTCTTGATCTTTTGACTCTAGCTGCTACTCATCAGATTAATAAGTAGGCCATTGTCTTTGTGAACTGTTATGCCAAGTGACCTTGTTGTCCCCTGAGACTATGGTCCTAAGTCCCCAGGTCAAGCATTTAAAATAATTACTTTTGTACACAGCCATATTATTTTGATATTCTTGTCCCTTTCAGACATCCTTCAGAAAGGCAACTTTTCCCAAAGGAGTTGTGATAAAAAGGAATTTCATGGGACTGTCTTCCCTTCTCCCATACAACTTCCTTTTCATGGCCATAACACCTATAATCCTAAAACATCCCCTTGGGAATGTTTTAGGGAATGTTTTTAAATCAAAACATGTTTGATTTGAAAAGATTTTCTTCTATGTTCTGAAAC